CATACAAAACCACGCATGGTGTGGATCAAATGGACAAGGAGAAGCTTCTTCCCCCTTCCCCAAAGACCTGAACCAGAGGTTACCCAATTAAATTGAATCCTGGAAGAATCAGGACAAACGTTTTGGCATTTCCTATCACAAGGACTGGCAATGGCTACCAGCTGGGCTGCTTCAAAAGAAGGTTGGACCAATTCATACAAGTCGAGGGGATCCATGGCTCTTAGCCGTCATGGCAGTGGGTCTGGCTCTGAAGGCCATCTGCTGGGAGGCCAGTGGGCTTCCTGGTGCGGCTGGTGGACCACTGGGGGAACAGACTGCTGGACTAGAGGAGCCAGGGGTCCGATCCAGCAGGGCACTGCTGAGGTTCTTCTGTCCTCCACTTTGACAGACTCAGGACTGCGCCACGAGTCTTCTGGGCTTCCCTCCGACCGCCACCAGGGGGAGCTCTGGCTGCTCTCTGGGTCTCTGAGAGGCCAGAGGGGACCTGGAAGGGATTTGGGGAGACCCTCCCGGGAGCAGGGGCAGAACTAGCAAAGCTCTCGTGTCTGCCTGGGGGGTGGGGGTAAAAAAAGGGCAGGAGTGGGGCAGCAGGTCCTTGTAAGGACAGAGAAAACGGCTTATGCTCGTGCAGAAGATTTATCTCAGCAAAAAACAGTCTACAGTTACACACACATTTGCTCACAGCCCTCCCATAAATAAGACTCCTTTAAACTGAATCTTGTGCCCCCAAAGATGTCGGGGGGGGGCTGCCGAGGAAGGGCTTCCCCCCTTAAGGGCAGCCCCACCGAGAGGACAGTGCAGGAGTCCAGCCCTGGTGCACCATGGGTGGGAAGACACAGCAGTCCAACCGGCTCAGGAAGGGCCCAAATGGGGGGGGGTCTCTTCCTTTTCTCTCCTCCCCTCACAAAATGGGAAGGTCCTGTGCCCCCTCCAAGAGCCCCCACCCCATTTGGCATCCCTGGCCGCTTCTTCCAACTGGAGGAAGAGAAGAGGCTCCTGGCCTTTGGGCCCCACTCGCCCCTCCAAAAAGGGGGCGCCAGAAATGCTTCTCCTTTGAGGGAATGAGCCTGGGGGGGATCTGGTCCCCCCACCTGGATCTGCACTTGATCCCTCATTTCTCTGGGGTGGAAGCAGACAGAAGGACAAGGACCAGCTTCCACCAGGATCTTCTTAGGATCCACCTGCCTTCTGGGGGGGCAGACCTGTTATTCCCTTCTTCCCCCACAGCAGTTGATCAAGCCAGGCTCTCCATCTTTCCCGAGGGAGAATTGGGGGGGGGGGGGAGATTTTGGTCTGTTCTTTACCTTTATATCACTCCTGTGCTATATATTTTTTTTTACTTTAAAAATGTTTTTAGTAACTGTCATCTATGCAGAGAACTTTAGCCACGGGACAAGGATAAAATTATATTAATTTTTTTAAAGCAATAAAAATACTTTAAAATAACCTTTTTAAAAAGTGTGGAAGAGGCCTTTCCCTTCAGAAACACCCCCTTTCTCCCCCCTCCTGCTCCTGGGGGGGAACATGGGGCAGGAGGAGCCACCCGACCCATCACTCACCTTCACTCTGATTGTAGCAAGTCCTCATAGTCTCCAGGTCTGCTCTCAACACCTCCTCAGTGCCACGCACTTTCTGGGTGCTTGTGTCCCAAAACTGGGGGTGCTTCTTCCCCAACTCCTCCACCCAGGAGACTCGAGGCTGCACCTTCCTGCTGTTGCTGTCGTAGTAAATGAAGACTTGATCGTCCACGTACCCCACAACGACAAACTGGGGCAGCCCCTGACTGGGGTCTGACATGGCAGTGTACAAATACTTCACAGAGTGCAAGGTGGAGCCTGGAAGGGACCCAGAGGGGCAGAGTTAGGGGACTTCAGCTGAGGGACCCTGATCCTATGGGGCACAGCAGGCCCCAATCTGAGGGTCTGGGGAGGAAGAAGGAGGAAGAAGAGACCTCGAAGGGGTTGGAGGGCAGAGGAAGAAGGGGAAAGGAAGGGGGAGAAGATGGAAGAGGGACAGGAGGCAGATGGTGGAAAGAGGGAGTGACTGAGAAGCAACGAAGCAGCTTCTGGAGGGCCTGAAGGGTTGGAGGGGAGAGAAGTTGGGGGTGAGAGAGGAAGGGAAGGAGAAGCAGGGCCAAAGGGAGAGCAGGAGCCCCAAACCGTATCTGCCCCCCCAAATTGTTCCCTCCCCCCTTCCAGCAAGGCCTCCCTGAAACCCTCTTCTGGATTGCGGAGATTCTGCCCCAAGGAGACTGCAGTCACCCCACAGAGAGACGGGGGGTTCCACCCACCCCAGAAGCTCAAAAGCATCAGGAAACCCCACCTTGTCACCCCAACTTTCCATTAATGGAAAAAAAAACATTCTCATCTCATGAGGGCCATAATGGATTGCTAATAGGTGTGGATTTTAGGGGAGATTTTATAAAATGGGGGAGGGAAAGGGGGGAAGGAGGGATCTGGATGAGGCCAGAGGCCATGGGACCCTTGGGGGCAAAGCCAAAGTGTTTGCCAAGGAGATGTGGGCAGTCAAAGGGGGGAGCGA